CCACACTTAGATACATGATATTATCTATAAGCAATTTTCAAAAGGAATTGTAATTAAAATTCTAGACTAAGGTTTATAGATCTTTAGTGTTTTATTTTCATAGTCGATTCTGGTAGGTTGGGTTTTAAAACAAGGCATGTAGGTACATATCTCTTCATTTCTTTTCACCAGTTCGATTAAGATAATAAAGATTTAAATTAAAAACTTTTCTCATTATTTTTGTTCCAATAGTTTTGATCTCCAATTTAGAAAAACAATAATTCTGGTATTATTGAATTTATCAGAGTTCAACAAATAGTGTGATTCATGTTCATATAAATGAAAAAAACATATTGCACGTCATTTAAATTTGAACTTTACAGTCACCCCTTAAAACACTCACTAAAATAAATGTGATGTCCTACACTGATAACTTTATGAGCTTCTTGTGTTATAGAGTTGAATTTCGATCGTACTATAAATTCCAAATGCTATTACATTCATTCTACAAATCGACATATCGAAACTGTTTTAAAATACGATTTGACTAATAAACGGAGCTTATAAAATGCAAATTTAATGTTTTTACCGTGCTAAGTTAATGAAATCTGTTCTCTTGGAATATGGATGTGGTAGAAAAACAGTGTTGTGGAGAAATACAGGGATATTATTGAGTTTTTGTGGAGACAAATGAACGCTATTGGATATCCATTAAGCATACATACGTTGTATGTAGTAATATGTTATGGGATAGTATCCATTTTTTTGTTTAAAGGTTTAGTCAACTGTGCAAAAAGTAACATATCAACTCGCATAGTGCGCTCTAAGCATTTTATTTCAATTCTCAGGATTATTTAAATACTTTTGAACATTTCTTGATTTAAAGCTAATTTAACATTTTTTAAATTTGAATTAGGTTAAAAATAATTATCTAACAACCTTAACCACTGTTGAACCATTCTTATAAATCTCCTTGACAATTATAATTTTTATAAAAAAATTAATTCAACTTAAAAAATATGTTTAACGTAAAATAAACCTAAAGTATAGAACTATGAAATTCAAAAATCTACAATTACAACATACATTAACAAAACAAAACGACACCACATTTGGACAAAACAAGCAAATAAACAAAATAACAAACAAAAATACCCACAACCAACAACTGACAACCACACACCACGCACTAAACATAACATTAAACATTTGTTTAGGAACAAGCTGTAGCCATAATTAATTCTGATTGAGGGATGCGTTTGTCAAATGCTACTCTTGCAAAATGTCCTCGGTTTTTGCTCGACGAAGCATGATTTTGTCATTAGGACCCTTCTAAGAGCATGTCATATTGTGGTTACGTACGGTAATATCGAACGGAAAATATGCCATGGCTAGCTGACCGACGTGATTTTATATGACTTAATATGTTTTGGACAAGTGTTAAATTGGTGGTGATTAGCGTCATTGTTTAGATTGAGGTGATTATTGGTGGTAGTTTAAAGAAATAATTGAGATAATTAAGATGTGTTTATTGTCTGTTGGGAGATACTGTAATTTAGTCAGTTCTTAAACTTAATAATATGAAAGCTAGTGTTTTTATTTTTGTTTGAGGACTTTTTTGATATTTAGTAAGTATATGCTCATCAGATATACGATGACAGTGTTGTCATATCTCAGAAAAAAAAACTTTAAATAAAAAACTGCTAATAAAATAATAATTACAACCTCATATTGATTCTAATGTCGATCCATTAGAATCAATATAAAAGCAATGAATGTTGAAACCGCTTTTCTTTCAACTTTATCAACCGAAGAAATAGGTAAGTTATTAAATACGAAATCAGGTCACTCATTCTTCAATAGAAAACATAACCTTGTCCACACATTACTACAAATTACGTGACACCAAAACTAAAAGTATATTTTCTATTTTTTATATAACAACTTATGTCAACCAATTCAACACATTAATGCTACATTTACTCAAAAAGTTTGACAACAAACAAAATGTGTCAACTGTGTCTGCTTTTGGTTTAAACGTAAACAATTTAAATCATGTTCCACGGGGATGAAAGGTCGAGTTAATGTCACATTTACGTGTGCATATATAACTTTTGTGACATCTCACACGAATTAAGAAGTTGCAAAATTCGTTACTAAGTTAATAATAAGTTACTTTAAAGATTTGCTGTTGAATTTAGTATAGTCATGTAAATATCTAAATCAATGATAAATACTTAAATAAAGTGGGTCAGAATCTAGAAACGAATACGAGTACGCTCGTTCCTGTTTTTAAAATTCGAAATATCAGCTCTTATAATATTGTTCTAATTTTAAACAATTCCATATGTACTATTAAAAAAGAATAAATAAGAAAAAAAGTCCGTGCAATTCCAAATTCAAATTACAATAATTCGAACTTCACTTAAAATCGATAAAGCAAAGACTCTTGTCATCGCACAACATTTATTTTGAACGTTAAATAAATTGATATTGGAACCTCAATTAAGATACTCAAACAGTATTTGAACATGGTTTCTGTTTGTTTCAAATAATGATGACAACGAGAGAGTAATATTATAAAATTTAAATTATATTAAGGGGTGAAGTTTGTAAGTTAAATATTAAATTCAAACAACAATGTCTGCCAAGACACTTGGTTCAATAAGAGCTTGCGTGCAAAGTTTATTTATGTACGGTTCCAATCAAGACATTTGCTATGATTTGTTGTGGGTACTTCGATGAATGAATAAAGTTATTTATCGTGTAAGATATTTTCAATTAAAACCAACATACTTTAATGTTACTAAACAATAAATAGTCACTCTAATGATACATAATATCGGCCCTAATGTCTTAAAGAACATAAAACCAGCACAAACTTACATAACAAAATGCAAATAGACCACAGTTTGCACAGCCGTAGAAAAGGTCCAAGAGTTAATTATGTTTAATTTCCATACAACAAGGCTTGTATCAAATCTACAAAGGTTCCGTAACAACGAAACTTTGCTCGTTCATTCAATTTGTTTTGTTGCACATAGCTTATACAAATACCTGTTGTAAGATACCAGCAAGCGAATACATTTATATTAAACTTTCGGACACCGCCCATCGAGAACGCCATTTTTTCACCGCCAAATTATGCGGTTATAATACTCCTTGTACTTAATGCCTCTACGTCCCGGAATTAAGGTGTGTCTATTAATCAAAGTGTATTGGTCCGAATGGATAATTAATTACAGGTATAAGCTTAAAACCCGAGCATTGGTTGCGTTTAACGCTTAATTCACTTCCTGGAATTGATTTTAGGGCGCTAAATAGTGGTAATTTAAATCACTTAGTAAAAGGTTGTTAGTGAAACAAACTGCTATCACTTGTTATCTATGTTCTATCCACTACAAAGAGCAATTTAATTTACGCAATGGGACTACATAGATTTGCTAATGGCGGAGCTAAGACAAACGACATGAAAACAAAACACCAGGGGGTTTGTAAAACGACACATGACATTAGGAATGGACTAAAAAGACTAGAGCTTAGAACTGGCTACAACAAAAGTGTTGTACTACGGTTGTTGTATCAGTTACACGCAATTAATTATAGTACTGTCGACTAGAGTCGTACTTCCTTCATTTCATCGCTACAGACATTAGTAAGAGCCGCGCCTTAGGGAATTGCTACTTGTGTAACTAGAAACAACGCTATAGAATTATTTCACCTATAAATAATTGATAGTAAGTACAAATTCAACAGTATACTTATAGATATATATCATCATGGCATCATAAAATCTAACTAGTGTTTTATTTGCTCATAATTTTGTAGCCGATTTCCTTCACGCTAATATTCATTTATTAAGATCTGCGAACTGCGACATCGGAAACCAATCCGGCTACGGCTGTTCGAAGTTCAAATAACTATTTGCTTATTTTTTTACCTCGACACTAGAACACAAAGAAGGATTTAATAAAGGTGCATTTTATGTCAAAATTTGTAGGTACGCAAATCATACTTTTCGTAACATTAAAATGCGATTATATCTACATGGGTGACTTACTTATCAAGCTGGTCCATTTTTGACTAATATTGTGAAATATTTTGACCATGCTCAAGTTGATTGAATACAACAAGATGTTGATAACAGTTCGATGACTGATTGCGATAGTGAAATTAATTTATTGGCAAAGAGATCTAGGTTGTAAGGAGCAAATATGGTATTCGCTAAATTGCTTATAACACTGAATTGAAAATGACATACTGTGTTACTAATTCTGTTACTAATAGGATTTCCATTCACGGTGAATGAATTGAGGTATAGGATAACTTCTTGGGATTCTAAGGTTCACCTCTATTAGTCTAGTTACACTAGCTTTTGGGAACAAAAAAAACACTATCAATTTTATGTTTACAAAAAATGTACAAGCTCAAAAATGCGTGTGAGACCAACGAAGTCAGACTGCCCACGATTCCATATCTTATATGTTGACGCAACTCTCTGATAATCATCGGACTACAATTGTTTTTCGCATAACCTTCAGACAAAGTATGTCTTAATGCAATTAAACATTAGGGCGAGTTCCATTTGACATTGTTTTAAATACCCGAAAACAGTTGACATTTTTAATTGCCAAAGGTTATATTATTTATACATACGTAGGTTGAGAATGAATTTATGTGCGTCTTATTATAAATGTGTGTCATTGAGAACTAGAGAATTATTCTTGACGAGTTTTTATTATGGTTTTAAGTTAGAGGTTGAATGCATTTTTTTTATTTATATTTTGGGGTAACTCAGGCGTTTTTCTCAAGGAAATCTTGTTGTATTTAGCTTTTAATGTTTAGTACCGCATATTTAAAATTCCTTCATAAGTCTTATATCGCAAAAAGCAAGAGAAATTCGGACTAAGAAAGCTTACAATAATAATTAAACTAAACAAAAAAATTCAAATTACGTAATCTCAACCAAAAGACGTTCACAAGCCTGGAAAAAACTTTAATATAACTTTTATCCTCCTTACCCGGGTTAGCCCTGGGATCTCTCGCTGCAGCAGCGAAGTTGTTATACGTCGGGCCTCCGAAACTTGTGCCAAAGTCGGAAAAGTCGACATCAAAATGGCTGAACTGAGCCGACGTCACTGCTATGCACGCGCACACGACTAGGGCCTGAGAACAAAAGAAAATTATTTTTAACAAACATTTTCATAAGGTCTAAATTAATTTAAAAACAGAATGATAAATTTATTTCCATTTTTTTATATAAACCAAGACTCCATAGAAAATACATAATTTAATAAATACGAAACTCAAAATGAGATACCGAAACCACTTTGTTAAAATAGACCTAATGGTTTTTTTGTACAACTTTATTACCTTTTAAACATTGACAAAAGTAATAATTAATACAAAAAAATTACATAAAAACTTATGGCATTCAACGTCGTGAGTCTATAGTTATACGTTGTAACGCTTACAATAAACATTTTTTGTTACAATTAGTTATAAGGATAATTTTGGGAAAAAATAGAAAAATGATTCATAAAGCATTTTTCTGGAGGTCGTTGAACTACGAACAAAAGTTACAATGGAAGAAAAGATTCTAATGCCCTCTCTTTTTGCAAAATGTCTTAATTACTTAGGTCATTGAACTACGTGAACTACGCCTTTGTAGCAATTCGAATGTATTTTAAGCTCTTTACTGAATTTGAACTCAAATATGTCTTGACTTCTTGAACTTTTTTTTACAACATATGCATATAGAAACTACTCAGTCCCGTTTTTCATTACCGGGTTGTATAGAGAGAAAATAAGAGAGAAAACACAATTAAGAGTTCTCTGTAAACTCACTTACTTATAATAATTATGCTTAAACTTATATACCTATCAATTCGAAGAATAACACACATACTGTCATGTTACTATAAATACTAAATCACCAAATAAAAAATACTGGGAACGCATTGATATTTAAATCATGTAAATATCTGACCATAAAAAAACTTACCTACATTTAAATGTTAAAACATCTAAAGGGGAAGATATATATGTATATATAGACCGAGCAAAAACATAAAACAAAAACGAATCGATATCTTTTAATCAGATTATATCGATTAGAGAATATATTTCGTGTACGTATGAAGTAATGTATGCTCATTATCTCTAGAACAAAGAACCTTTTAATCGATACGGATATTTCATATGTAACATATTATTTTATCGTTTTGATCAGCACTATAGTGGTCTTAATCGAGTCGTATTCGAAGACCTTGTTTAGACAGCAAATGGTTCTCCTAGAAAATTCATTTTAAAAAAATTAACAAATTACTTCTGTCTCGCATCTGATTATAATTTTGAGAATAAAATAGAATAGAATAGAAGAAAATAATTCATTTATTTGCAGGAAGCAGACAGCAGGGCAGTAAGCTTAAAATGGCTAAATATATTTACTTTCTATATATTTACTCTCTATTGAATTGGATCTAATCTTCCTAATACTCTCAATGTAACTGTTGTTTTATTGTTTAACACAAATACTACAATGTGTATCTCAATATGTTTGTCTGAAAATGGTTGGCAGGAGCTACTTCATTTCAAACTAATAATCATCTCATCACCACTTTCTAAAAGTGCATTGCCAAAACAATGATACACTTTCATATAATACAATAACTTCTACAGCAGCTATAACTATAGAGGTTGTAAGAACTATACGGAAACGTAGTGACGTAAGCAATGCACACATTCATATGTTGCTGAACTGGTTTAGAACTGATTCGAAACAGGTATGTGATCTTGATATGTGACCTCAGTCGAGGACTGGGCTTGCGTGAACTCTGTCTCTGTCAGCTGATGTGAACACACGTGTTCGAATGTGCAGACTGGCGGCGCAAACGACGTATTTTATAACGATTTCGATTTTAAAAAAGGTTTTATTCGATTTTTGTGAATGAAAATGTACTCTTTATTCTTCCAATAGTTATTATATGTATACACACAGTTATATACAAAAATTTAGAGCACAATGGGCGGTCTTATCATACAAGGCGATAGTTTCTCTCGATCGATTAAATACTTTGTAAAATTAAACTTTTTCAAAAACATATTTTGGAATCTATATTCTTCCAATAGTTATTATATAGGTACACAAAGTTATACACCTAACAAACATTTTCTTTCACAATAGGCGGTCGTCTAATCATACAAGGCGATATTTTCTCGCGATCGATTACATACTTTGTAAAATTAAACTTTTTTAAAAGCATTTGAACCATTATTTTTCTTTAAAAACATTGAAATAGCCTTATGTTATATATATATTTATATCTTTTATACACATATAATAAAGAAAACAATTTATAAATTGATTGCTTTTGCATATAGAATACAATTTATCTGCTGGTGCTACTTAAACTTTCGCAACTAGTCCAGTGTAGCAGCCGCCCGTCTGCGAGGCCCTACGCAACATACCTGTTCCCATTAAAGGACAACCAAGTGCTTTCCGAATGGAATATGGTAATAAGTTCGATACACTTGGCTTGCAAAACTGTGACAAATTTTATTGCTCAGATAAACATAGCCCTTTTAGTAAGTAATTAGTAATGGTCATTGTTTGGAATCAGTCAGACACACTCATTGATAAAGAAAGTCAAGGCGAATAGCACATTTCCGTCCCATAAAAAGTTACAAAAGTGTGAGAATGCATTGAGTTTTAACGTGTGAGAGAGGTTAGCAGAAGCTTCAACCTTCCCGTCCCCCAAAAACTAAATCTCCAAAACCTTAGTCCCCAAAATATCGGCAACGTACTCGTAACTCCATCAATTGGCGGGATGATTGCCTACCAAAGGTAATCCGCCTGTCTGTTTGCAGTGCTAACACATAAAAAATGTAGTGTGATTTCCTAAGACACGAGTAGATATTTCTAGACGATTTCAAAAACAATGAGCACTATTTTATAACACTGCGAAACAGTGTTTTAGTATCCATTAAAAGCTGTCCAAGAGATAAAATTGCACTTAGCCCAGACAGGTTTGTCCATCGTATATCAAAACTTGTGTCCCTATCTCCAAATCGCTTTACTAACATACAAACCGGACGATAATTATTCATTATGAAATGCTTGTAATAAATAAATTAAATGGAGTAAAGGCTAATAAAATAGTTTGAATATTCCTAGTCAGTTATGTTAAATCACGAAGCAGGTTTGAATGCTATCTAGGAAGTTTAGCAACTAGTGTTCTATTGATGAAACTGTTCGCGATAAACTGTACTGGTAATTGTGTTATACAACTGCTTTTAGAAAGGCTAAGGTATTAGGTTTGGTGGGCGTCGGCAGATGAAGTGTGATGAAATAATCCCATTATCAAGGGCCTTGAAAAATCGTCTTCAACTTTGATTCTCTTTTTGATTTGGCCTACGATAAGGACTTATTTTCGTACGTAATTTAGATGTGACTTTTTATATAAGACCCGCCGTTAATTGTGAATTTTGGTCACCGTCAAAGATTTTGTCTTTAATTTATGTGCAATGAAGACATGGGAGAATGCTCTCATTGCGCATAAACAATCAAACTGTGAGTAAAATACTCGTAAATATATATAAATGTCTAGTAAACATCATCCTAAAGTTAAATTAAGCTCAATCAATAACAGATCCGAAAATAAGCTGAAAAGACAGTTTAATAACTAGCCTACATCGATATTATTAAACTAATAAACTATCAATCTGCATCATTGATACCTATTTAATTTCATAAAATAATTTAACGTAAATTCTTGGTTGACAGGTATAATGTGAGTCTTGGATTATCAGTAAATTGCTTAGAGTGGGTGAGACTGGCCTTTACAAAACAGACGACGACTTATCTGCAAATTATCGATAACACCTTTTATTTTTATGATGGATTTAAATTTCGAATGTTGTGAAAATATGGGTCTCTCTCATCTTGAGATCTCTCTCATCATCAAAATTTGTGCATAGTTGAATGTGCAGATAATATGTTAATAATACAATGTAAGGAATTTTTTATGATTTTATTGGAACTCTAATAATAACAAAGTGAGAGTATATTATTATAATTAATATTAAAATTTGAACAGTGTACAATTCGGCTTCTTATTTCGTTAATAAATCGTTTTGGAAACGATAAACTCATCAAATGTCTACTTAATAACACTTTAGCTAGCCCACTACTATAACATAAATCAATACGCAGCCTAGTTACAGACTCTTCCTGGCCAGTTTCTGGTTTCCCACCGCTACTAATTGATTACTCAATCCAATAATATACCTCAATGTCTATTCAAATAGTAACAAAAACCGAAACCACAAGCAGCCTTTTCACTATTATATTGATATCTGTCGTAATAATTTATTATATCAAGACAAGTGATATTACGCAAATATGACTAAAGTATAGCAAAGTTTCTAAAAATAACCTTTTGTTTGTTTAAGGTCGACATTAAAGAAATAGACAGTATACATAATACGCACACACTGGGCGAAGTTTGTCTACATAGTCTACCAAAAGGTTTTAATCAATCCTGCCAGCTTTAAAACATATCAGGCTGAAAAGAATTTAAATTTCGATCAGCAACAAAAAAAAGAAAAACTATTTATTCTTTTATGACCTTATAAATTTATTATCCAGTTACAAAATGGCGTCAAATCAAAATAGTAATGCTAAAATATTTGAATTATTTTTTTATAGTGTCTAACAACAATTCTTACATTGCATCATTCTGTAGTATTCTAATTAATTCCCATCGTTAAAATTGCCCCAGTCTCAACAAGGTCCTTTAGTAATCTCTACGTGTAAACGAGTATCGAGTGACCGGTCGTGTGATTTGAATAATATTCTCTGGCTGCCCACTCGGTAACAATCGGAAAATAATCGTATCGAATACATTTGTCCGATTTGAAAGCGTAATCGATTAGACTTGGTCTTTTAATCTAGACCTGATACGGTATATGTAGTAGTGTGTTCTTCTTGATACTTTTTAATACGTGTTTTATTACGACTCTTCTATGCAGAGTGGCACTTAAAAGTATTTTCATTTGACTTCTAAACTTTCAGGTCTCTATGGTGTACGCAATTGCAGCCCAAATAATGTATGACTAAGTTTTTGCAAATATCAAACTTCATACTCACAGAGGTAGATACATTT